GAAAATGAAAGGAGGAATAACTCTTCACACACTCAACTATAGCTCAAATGGATAGGTGGAATGGATTCATTGAGTGGTTTCCAATCAATTTCATGTGGTGGGTCATTGGATTTGGTGGATGGATGATTTAGAAATTAAAGAAAGAAAAAAACCAAACCCTAAGCCCCCCCTTGACAAGTGCAGCTCGGCCATCCAAGAGAGAGAAGAAGAAATTCTGAAATGAATAGTGATTCATTTAAGTGACAAGGCTATATAGGCACATGTGGCCCTTTTTATCGGATGTTTTTCTATCGCGTATTTTAACTTAAACTGACTCGGAACTCACTTAAGGCTACAAACATATTTTTATTTTTCTAAATCATTTACATTAATTTTTATTTCCTAAGGAACAATATTCTTAATTTACAGTATGGTTTCTGCACCGTTTTTGACGAAATGCACTGTGAACCACTAACTGTACTTCGTTTACTTCTGAACTTAAAACTTATTAACTTATCATTTCCTTGGGCCCATATTGACTTGTTTGGCATATATTGGACTTTCTTATTCTTATTTCATCAATTATTTGCTTCTGGACTCTACCGGTTGCTTAAACAGCAGTACAAAATACCCGGTAGAAACACTATTCACGAGATTTTCACGGAAAGTGTCAGACTATACAATTTTTCGTTCTGAACTCATATTTGTCATCAGAATTGTCAAATTATGTTCCTAAAATCATTTTGCTAATTTAAGCTCTACCGGTTAATTCACAAAACTGTAAATTCTCCGGCAGAACGCACTGTTCATAACATAGTCATGATTACAGTCAAAATACTCGAAATCGCTCACTGAATCTAATTATGGCATTTAAATCCTTAAATTAAATCTCTAACTAAGATTTACCAGTTAGGGTCATTATAGTGTATCTGAAATATAATCCCCACATGAGGTGAGATACCAGGGTTCTTAGAGATTTCTCCGACCCTTGAGCTCATTTCCATGATATATAGGTATTGAAACTACATTATGCATCAATCCATTTGATCATTTTACACACACACACACACACACACACACAACACTCGAGCTATTCTGTTGGCCTCTCACCAACATACATGAATGCTCATATGGCACTTCCAAAAGAAAGCCTTCAAAGCTTCATGAGCTATTCTGTTGGCCTCTCACCAACATACATGAATGCTCATATGGCACTTCCAAGAGAAAGCCTTCAAAGATTCATTTCTCATGTGTCAACCACACGAAGTTGTTCCAAGCAACACTGGCTCCAGGGGAAGTCTATATTTATTTTACTGGCCAGAGAATCTATCCAATCATGCAGTCATACATAACATATTCATATTCTTAGCATTTTATAATTAAGCAATAATACTCAATTTCAACACCAATGCACACCATGTCATACGAATTATTACTCCTCACAGAGTATGGTGGAACAACAAAGGGAAAAAACCCTTAAGGTCCAAGAGTTTAACTCTTTGGAGCTATGTTCTCACACTTCCTCTTTGTTTCAAAACAGTCCAAGCACCAATTCAACACCAAAATTAGAACACCACCTAGTCTAAGGTAAACAACTCAATTAACAATACATACACAACACTAACACATGTCAACCAACTCAAAATCATCAATTTTCAAGGGTTCAAAGTCTTACCCTTTGCTGATTTTTGAAGAACCAAACTCAATGATTGTCCAAATTAACTTTCAACACAATCGACAATTAATTATACACAAAACAACATATATTCAAGCATCAATCAACAAAACTAAGCACTAGTTTTGGTTTCCCCTTTCATGAAATCCATCAATAACCATTAGTCGAAGTTCTCTTACCTTACAACCACCTATGATGCACACGAGACACGGGACACGACACGACACGACACGCCGACACGTTAATTTTAAAAAATATTATATTTGGATACGTTGGGACACGTTTTGATATTAAATAAATTTTTTAATATATATAATATAATTTATATTTAATACATATAAGAGTCCATAATAAGTCATATAACCAATCAAATATTTAAATTTCATAACATAAATATAAATATAAATAATTTTTCGTACTTTGTTAATTTTTCATGTCAAATTTCATAACAGAAAAAAATTAATTTATAAATTATTTCTTTTATATTTAGTTAACAAAATAAAATTAAGATTTTTTTTTTAAAAAAAAAATGTATCCGAGCGTTGACCGCGTGTCCGAAAAAGTTGACCGCGTGTCCCTAAATGTTGATCGCGTGTCGGACACGTGTCCGAGCGTGTCGGAAAGTGTCCGTGTCGGACACGCAAATTTTCCTTGGATGAGCGTGTCCGTGCTCTACTGACAACCACCAAAGCCCTTGTCAGTGGAGGATTCGTAAGCTCTAAAGAGGCTCATATCTCAGTTCCTTGGCCACTCACAAGAGGAGTCCGAAAATGAAGTTTGTTCTTGGCGAGTTTTTTGGGTGATTCAAGCGGAGGAGATGAGTGAGATGATGTAGTGTACAGTGATTCCTAGTTCTAATGATCAATGAGTGTCAATGGAGGTTAGAAATGAGTGATTTTTCAGCAAAAAACCAGAGAAAACTGAGAGGGAAGGAGAGGTTTGGGAGAAGAATGAAAGGGAAGAGAGAGTGTTTGACCTCTTTTTCACTATTCACGCATCTATTCAGTGAAACGAACAAGTTAGCGAGTTTAAGCATTACTTGCTACAACGAGGAAGCACTGATGCCAAATTGTCATTTTTGCCACTTTGTTCCAAAAATCATATAAAATCAAAATTTTCTTCAAATGACAAAAAATTTTAATGGTAGAAAGTAGACATTTTAAGCTTCAAGATGGTATAAAGTTTGTTCCATATGGAGGTCTATAGCTCCGGAAACCAAATTTACAAAATGACAGGCATAATAAAAATTCAAGAAAATCTGTTTGAATTCTGAAAATCATTATTTTAACCTCTTAATTATATATTAATTCCAATTAATGCAATTTAATTATGCGAGTTACTATAGTACCCATATCTCACACTAACCTAATATATTTAAAGGCATTTATTAATTAATCCATAGTTCTCGAACTTCTAATGTAATTTGGAACAAGAGAAATCTCTTATGTTATGGATGGAATGTATTTCTTATGTAATTTATTATTTATCAGTGATTATTAGAATAATTACAAAATGTTAACATTATATAATATTAGATCGAGTAAAAACAACTCAACCAGATCAAGTTACGACGTTAGATGTGCCTTGCGGCTTGCATACTTTTCAGGATTAGTAACTTATTATCACTAATGCTATGAGCCTTATGCTGTTTAGACCAGTGTTTTTTTTTTAGTTCACGCATGATGCATATATCGTTTAATACACCATATTTATACCATAATCATTTGAGAGAAAAAAAATCGTAGAGAAGCACAAAATATCAAATCATATTGTTGCATACTGAATGAATAAAAAACTAAATGTTTGGATAATTTAAATTTAAACTTTATTAAATAAGGGATCGTATGTCTATAAATTTTTAAGAAAAATATACATTAAAAAACACATTTAAAAATTTATAATAGTTGGATAAATTAAAAAAGAAAAAAGAAAAAAGAAATTAATGCTTTTCTCATAAATTTAAAATTGTAACTTTTAAAAAAATCTAGATAATTTTTTTAAAGTATAAACCAACGGGTCTTAGATTATGTTAAAGTAATTCAGTGTTAACCCCCAAGGGTAGCTCAGTTGGCAACTGAGCTCCTAAGGGATTGCTTGGTGCATGGATCAAACCCTGCCTCAAGCAGTTTCTTGAAAAATCTTTGGGTGCCAGAGGATAAGTCAAAAATCTTCGGTTGGGGGATTAGTCTCGTCATACCTCCTTGGCAATGTACCAAAAAAAAAAAGAAAAGTAATTCAGTGTTTAAAATATATAATTGAGTTTGTTGTAAAGAAATATTGTAACCTAAAAATTTAAATTAATAAATGATGATCAATTTAGCGGTTTTAAATTATAAGCTTTGATATCATATAAAAATCATTTCAATCTTGATATACAAAAAAAAAAAAAAAATCATTTCAATCCAAAAAGATAATTTAATAAGTGATTATTATATTAATAATTTTAAATATAATATTTTTTCTCCTTTTTTTTTTCTCCCACACTCCCCGTATGAAATAAAATTGAAAGCTGGAGGGGGAAAAAATAAATAAGAAAAAAAATTGGGACAAGATATACTTACCACTAAAAAAATTTATCACTCTTATAACAAATTTAATCACAATTAATTTCCGTCAATCTAATGGTTATAATTTATTGGGAATTAATAATTAATTAATAAGTGTGACTCAATAAATATTATTAATTTCTAATAAATTATAATCGTTAGATCGATTAAATTGGTGATACGAATAATAATATTTTTTTTGGTGATAAATATATCCGTTAAAAAAAATAATGAAAGAAGACTGGCTGGTGAGAAAGTATATTGACGAATGAAAACGACGTTTTTGTGATTGCATCATAGGATTCCATGGTGTATCTACAATTCACTCGCTCTTCACTTTCAAACTCTCTTCTCGCTAATGGATTAGCTCAGTTGGTTGGATTGAGCTGTGTTGAAACAAATGTTTATTGCTTAATTATTGTTTAAAAGTTCTGTTGATATCCTCATTATAGTACGACGTGTTTAATTTTTTTTTTTTTAAATAATAAGGTTTATGAGGGGATTGTCATATTCTAAAGTAAGAATATATCATAAGTTTTAACGAATTTTTGTTGGTATCATGCTTTAATAATGGAAATAACATATATACATCATTTTTTCCCAATGCTGGGTGTAAAATGGAAATATAAAAATTTTGATCAAGAAAAATATAAATAAAAGAAATAAAAAGTTAAAAAATAAAAAAATGAAGTTATACAACATGAATGTGTGTGTTGGAATTATTTCTGATTTTGTTATTAGCGCTGAGCTGAGATGCTACCCAAAACCGAACATCATTGGCTGAACCCATCAGTACTTCCTCACCACGTAGAAAGAGACAGCAAGAAGAGCGCCAGAGTTTAATTGCAACACACAAAAAAAAAAAAAGAAGAAGAAGAAGAAGAAAAAAAACAGAAGCATGTTAGTTGTCGCTGGCGTGTGTTGTGTGGGTTCGGAGTTTGAACTGCAAATCTAGGAGTAGGAGGAGTAGTTCGTCATCTTCATCGTTTAAAATTGTAATCTAGGGTTCCAATTCCGACCACACTTGCTCATGAGTTCCATCCTATCAAGAAGCTTCTGTTACCGTTATCCTCGTTTTCTTCGTCCAATGTAAACAAGAATCAAAAAACAAAAACAAGAATCAGAGACAACGTAGATGTACTCGAGCAATTTGACGGGGTTTGTGTTGGCAGTGGTTTCCAGTGCTTTCATTGGCTCCAGCTTCATCATCAAGAAAAAGGGTCTCCAACTCGCCAGAGTTAATGGCCCTCGTGCCAGTCAGTTCTCTCTCTCTCTCTCTCTCCCCAAAACAAATCATGTTCTGGAGAATATTCATTCATGGTTGTGTTTTGCTTTTTAATTTGTAGGTGTTGGAGGCTATGGTTATTTGCTTCAGCCTCTCTGGTGGGTCGGAATGATTACCAGTATGTACTTATGTTTCAACATTTTTTTTATTTTTTTTTTATTTTTTGGTTTTTTAATCTTAGATTTTCATCATTAATTTTTTTTTTTTTTTAAAATTGTTCCAGTGATTGTTGGAGAGATATCGAATTTTATAGCATACATTTACGCCCCTGCTGTGCTTGTGACTCCACTGGGTGCATTAAGTATTATTGTTAGGTAAATGTTCATTTCTATTCTATTTAAGGATTCCTTGTTTAGTTTAGCTTAGTTCATTATTATTGTTATTTTTTTACCCAGTTAACTTTTTTTATTACCTTTGTGCTGAGCTGAGAATTGCTAATTGCTATGGAAATGGTTAGTGCTGTCTTAGCACATTTCCTATTGAAGGAGAAGCTGCAGAAAATGGGCATATTGGGATGTCTTCTATGCATTGTTGGATCCACTGTTATTGTAATCCATGCACCTGAAGAGATGTCTCTTAGTTCTGTACAAGAAATATGGGAATTGGCCACTCAACCTGGTATTCTTTCAGGGTTTCATTGATTGTCCACTATGAAATGAATGTGGCTATATGATTAATGGATTTTTCCTGATTATTGCTTTCTATTTTGGCATCCAGCGTTCCTATCGTACACGGCCTCAGCAATGGCCGTAACATTGGTCTTGGTTTTGTATTGTGCTCCCCGCTATGGCCAAACTAATATTTTGGTTTATATTGGAATATGCTCCATAATTGGTTCCTTGACTGTAAGTGACTCTACGCAATTAACCTTGTCAGTTGTCACTATTTAATGTGTGATTTTTTTTTTATCAATTTGGATAGTCCTGTACATTCTAACAGTTGATTGAATTTAATACCAAAGGCCGCCATTTTTTTTTTAATATTTCTGATAAAAATCTTATTTCTCAGGTCATGAGCATAAAAGCAATTGGAATTGCTATAAAACTTACATTAGATGGTGCAAACCAGTTTTTATACTTTCAGACTTGGATTTTTACAATGGTTGCTATCACCTGCGTCATTGTCCAACTAAATTACCTTAATATGGTGAGTATCACTTTTTTTTTTATGTGAGCACCATTTTTGCATTATAACATTGTGTTAAAAACATGCTTGCTTCTTTCAGATAATTTAGTGCTTTCTGTTACTTTGTTCTCTGTGCTTTAGATGTATAATATAACCCATTGAGGTAAAAATATTAGTTAAAACATGTTAGGCAGTTCGTTCTTCTTGGACGTAACACCAGTTAATACTAGGCCATTATTCATTTTACTCTGGCTGTTCTGAAACCTGTGATTACTGAAAACTACGTGAACCCCGTATTATTGTTTCGTATTATTTCAGTTGTCTTCATTAACGAGAGAAATAAAAACTCGTGTATGCAGACTGCTTATAAAGTCTTGGTCTTAAAAATCTTCATTCTAACTGTTTTCTTTGCTATGATGCATTTTGCTACATAATTTATACTAAATTGTGTATCCAAGAATTTGATTAATTTTAGGACATGTACCACAACTGTTTTTAAAGCGAGCTTTGATTATCAATTGCTTCACTATTGTTTGCAATCTTACCGTGTATTCTTACTTTCATTTTTCTCTGCTGACTGATTGAAAGTGAAAGGTGCATTTTCCATAATGCCATGAACCTGTCCATCCCACCACTTAGTCTATCTATCTAGACTGATAACTTTGATTGTTATAACCTATAATACTAAATGAAGAATAACCTGAATCAAATTTTCCCTATTCTTTCTTATTATTCTTCCTCTTTTTTCAGCCTCGGTAGTCTGTAATGTGATTTCCTTATTTTGTGGTGCAATTAATTAGTTTGGTTTCTAATAGATTAGTGCAATTATCTTGATTGTACTCCCAATAACCTTCAATTGGGAGCAGAACTGGTTTTCAAATAACAAATGTTGATTTTAATTTTAATAGTCCATACTCTGCTTAATTAAGAATCTGCATAGCCTCTAAGAAGTATTTGTTTTTTTAACTTGGGTACTAAGTCTGAACAAAATCTTTCTATTTGTTGTTCAGGAGCATTTGAAATAAGATGTTAGAGCCTTGGTTTATCTTTCCTTTAGAAGAAAAGATCTAGCTTGTGTTGGCTTCCTGTTATGTATCTCATCTGATTATGTATATAGTAAGGAGAATCATTTTAGTTTGTTGGCTCTGATCATTCTTTTCTCAGCTTCATGTCCACTTTCTTTTTTCTTCAGTTACTAACTATTATCATGCTTGTGTTGTATCTTCCTTGCAATTCTTTTCACTCCATGTGTCCATTGGAGTTTTATTCTAAATTAAATTACTTGTCAAGTTATCAATTGAGAAACTGTTTGAAGGCTATGAAGTAATCTGGAAGTCTACGATGTAAATCTCTAGTCCAAATAACATCCATGTAATGCTAGATCTGAAGCCCACCACCCAAATTTTGATTTACTAGCATGTCATTTCCATACCTTACAATTGTCATCATTTTCTTGTTATATGATCTTCAATCTGAACTTCTATGGTGACCTACTCTTCTTGCATGGTTGCAGGCATTGGATAATTTTAACACCGCAGTTGTTTCTCCAATCTATTATGCATTGTTCACGGCTTTTACAATATTAGCCAGTGCAATTATGTTTAAGGTTGGTAATTTTTGGAAACATGAGAATATTTGTGCATGGAAACTGGAAAGAGGCATTTTATGGTTCAACTATTTTTTCTAATCCTGCCTCCTCTGATTTTCTAATTCAGGACTATTCTGGTCAAAGTATAAGCAGTATTGTATCAGAGCTATGTGGTTTCATCACAGTTTTATCTGGAACAACTGTTTTGCACAGTACAAGAGAGCCAGATCCTCCAGTCATTACAGGTAATACCTCTTGCACTTTAATATGGAGGATTCGGATGATAGAAGCTCCTCATAATTATGTGGCAATAAAGGGTATCCAGCTTTGCTTGACCTAGTGGATTGCTTGACCTGTAATATAATATGTTATTGTTAACGCCAAAGGCTAAAACTTAATACAAATTTTAGATAACGTGAAAGAGTTGCTCATATTGCAGACTATTTGCTCCATTTTTTTATATGTGAGTAGTCATGCCACTAAATAATTGATGATTTCTTTTTCATAATAAGTATCAGAGTATGCAAATATAACAGGGAAGATTGATGACAATATATTAGTTATATATCATTTATGGAGATTTGTCTAGCTATTTTTTGGACCTAAACATTAATATGGATTACTTAAATGTTAACAATTGGTCAGAAATAGTGAAGCCGTCCCGATCCATTTGAAAGCAAAAGCCATTCAGTATGCTATTTCCTTGAGGTTTCAGCTTTTGGTGATAGGATGAAAATTGACTCACTCTTGTCAATTAGTTTGTATCATTTTGAAAATCTCTCTAACACTGGACTCATATCTTAGACAAGAGTAGGCATATAAAAGGTGGTGGCCTAGTGCATGAGGCTTTCTCCATTGTGGGTTTTGGGGAGGGTTAGGTGTATTTAGCCTTACTCTCATGAATGGAGAGGTCATTTCTGGAAGTAGAACCTGTGACCAACCAGGTCACAAAGTAGCAGTGGTATGAAAACAGTGTTACTCGATACTCAATGAGTAGTTTCTTCAGTTTTCTGCACTGCTCTCTTGCTTTGTGTTATACATATCTTTTATAAAACTGAAGTTATGCTTGAATTGGCCTTTACCGAATACTACTGTATGTTTACCATAGTACCAAAGAAAGGATATTTATTAATATCTTATGCTTGATTAAGTCCTTTCTGTTTTTTAATGCAAAATGAATATTCCTCTCGTGGATATTTTACGTGGACAAGTGCTCTTCTTATGTTGTTATTCAATTTTCAGATCTTGGCATCATATAGCGAGATTCATGAGTTTTGTCTAATCAGATTTATTTACATCTTGTCCTAATTCATAATTTTATATTTGGGTAGAGGTGACATAGTCAACATTAAGGACACTAGAATTTCTTTGCATAAGTGGATGTGTTGACAATTGATAATGAGATTCGAAATTATGTGCTACTTTCTAGCATTGTTGTGTAAACTGGATTGGTTGATTAGGCTAGAAAACCCGGTGAACAAATCAGGTGTCTGAGCTATAATAAAAAAAAAAAACCACTCCCCGTTAAACCCGACTAGCGAATGTGGAGTGGAGGCAATCCTTATACGCAGTCTTACCTTTGCATAATTGCAAAGAGGCTGTTTCCTGGATTCGACCCTATAACCTTTCAGTCATGAAAGAATAGCTTTACCACTGCTCCGATTCGCCCCCATAAAAATCAGGTGTCTGAGCTGTGTAACTTAAAAATCAGATGATCGGAGAACCGGGATAGAACAGTCCAAAACTGGTGGAGTACCACTTTGAACCTTTTATTTTATCTTTTACCTACAAGGATGGCCTTCACCTACGCAAGGTTCACGGAAGTGTTTATAGTAGACAACCTTACTTTTTATTTGTGTTAGAATATTAGATATGATATGATTAGATATGATTAGATATGATTGGATTCCGTCTTATCCGTAAATATTCTGACTGTATTCTGATTGTATTAGGATTAGGTTTGGGCCTTTCACTTAAGCCCATTAGGGTCTCTATATATTGTAACTCTCTGACACAGATCAATATACAACATATTATTTTGTATTCAAGTTGATACCAGAGCTCTTTTGTTCTGGGAACCCTCGCTTCCGCTTAGAAACCTTGTTTTTTGCTTTAAAACCTAAGCCCATTGCTTAGGAGTCCTCTTTCTTGCCGTGCGTCCTTCCGGCAAGCCTTCTAGGGCTGTAAACAGCCTCTGAGTGATTTTTCCAAACGCGTCAACACCTCCGACGGCCACCGGAACCACCGCCCGCCGTCAGAATCACTGTTCAGGCAACCAGAGACTTTTTCCGGCCACTTTTCCGACCAAACTTCACGCGATCAGGACCCTCTCTTCCCGGCGACCAGGTCTGTGGTGGTCCGGTCAGCAACGCATCTTCCACGCGCCGTCACGCGCCACCTGTCTTCTCTGCGCGTGGGCCTCACGCGCCACCTTCTGCCGGCGCGTGAGCACTATTCCAGCGGCTTTTTCCGGCCGGTCTTGGACAGAGAAGCTCGCCTTCTCCTCCCCTTTCTGGATCTGTGATTGTTTCTCTGTGGGTCTGACCTTAGACGCGTGGTTCTTCTTGATTGGATATCGTTTGCCTTCGTTTACGGCTTTTATATTTTATTTTTAAATGGCAGCAGCATCTCCTGATCTCTCGGAGGTTAACTCTCCTTCTATTGTTGCAAATATAGCTCAGTCAGACAATGCATCATTTGGTTCAGGTTCGGACTATGCTGCACTCCAAACCCCTCTCAGGAAGGCTTCTCCTCAGTCTCAGCCTTATACTGGTAATCCTGTTGCTTGTGTTTCTCATTCTACATCACTTGGCACTTGGATATTTGACTCCGGTGCTACCGATCATCTCTGTGGTAATAAGGAACTCTTTACATCTCTTACTTATTCTGATCATTTACCGTCTTTTACCCTTGCGGATGGAACCAAAGCCCCAGTTCGTGGGATTGGACAAGCTCGTCCGACCTCTACCTTGGCCCTGACATCTGTCTATTACATTCCTGGCATCCCTTATAACTTAATTTCTATTAGTAAGTTGATCCACTCCCTCACTTGCACCATTACTTTCTCTAACCATTCTGTTTCTGTGCAGGATCCGGGTACGGGGAAAATGATTGGAGTGGGTCGTGAGTCACGGGGGCTTTATTATCTGGATGTGCCTCGTCCTTCAGTAGCATGCTCTCTCACAGAATCTCCACAACTTATCCACAGTCGCCTTGGTCATCGAAGTCTTTCAAAGTTGCAGAAAATGGTTCCTCTTTTGTCCGGTCTTCAGTCTTTAGATTGTGTGTCATGTCAACAAGGGAAGCATACACGCTCCTCTTTTGCCAGTCGAGTCAATAAACGAGCTGATGCCCCTTTCTCTCTTGTTCATTCAGATATCTGGGGTCCAAGTCGTACCTTGTCTGTCTTAGGTTTTCGGTATTTCGTTACCTTTATTGATGATTTTTCCCGTTGCACTTGGACCTATTTAATGAAAAATCGTTCCGAGTTATTTTGCATTTATAAAAAGTTTTCTACTGAGATCCATACTCAATTTGGTGTTTCTATTCGTATTCTACGTAGTGATAATGCTAAGGAATATGTTTCTATTGATTTTTCTAATTTCTTGGCCACACAAGGTACTTTACATCAAACTACTTGTCCTCACACTCCACAACAAAATGGGGTGGCTGAACGTAAAAACAGACATCTCATTGAAACTGCCCGTACCCTTCTTATTCATATGCAGGTTCCCCTTCACTTCTGGGCAAATGCTGTACTCATCTCTTGTTTTCTCATCAATCGCATGCCTTCATCTGTGCTCCACAATGACATTCCTCATAATCTATTGCTTCCAGATGTTCCTCTTTATCCTCTAACTCCACATGTCTTTGGTTGTACTTGTTTTGTTCATGATCTCACTCCTGGTAAGGATAAGTTAACATCCAAAGCCTTTCAGTGTATCTTTCTTGGTTATTCTCGTCTTCAAAAGGGTTATCGTTGTTATTCTCCCGACCTTAAGTGTTACTTAGTTTCCGCTGATGTCACTTTTCTTGATCAACAACCCTTTAATTCTATCCCATCTCAGATGTCACAGGTTGATCATGTACTTCCTGTCCCTTTTCTTGACTTGTCTTTGCCAGCTGCAGGTGCTTCTATTCCAGATGAGCAACCTATTGCTTCTATACCTGAGGACCGTCCACTTCTCACCTATCAGCGTCGCACAACTGTGCCTCCTGTCGACTCGACTCTTGCTGACTCATCGCCCACTGCTGTTGCTTCTTCCCCTCCGGATCCTTCATCAGAGACTCTTCCCATTGCTCAAAGAAAAGGTACACGTACTACTCGTAACCCTTATCCTCTTTATACCTTTTTGAGTTATGACCGTCTTTCTTCACCTCATTTCACCTTTGTTTCTAGTCTTTCTTCTATTTCTATTCCTAAGACCACAGGTGAAGCACTTTCCCATCCAGGGTGGCGCCAAGCAATGCTTGATGAGATGACTGCACTTCATTCCAATGGCACTTGGGACCTTGTTTCTGCTCCTCCAGAGAAGTCTATAGTTGGTTGTCGCTGGGTTTTTACTGTGAAAGTTGGACTTGATGGCCATATTGATCGTCTCAAGGCATGTTTAGTTGCCAAGGGTTTTACTCAAATCTTTGGCCTTGATTATAGCGATACATTTTCTCCGGTCGCTAAGATGGCGTCAGTCCGCCTCTTTCTTGCCCTTGCTGCTGTTCGTCACTGGCCACTCCTTCAACTTGACATCAAAAATGCCTTTCTTCATGGTGATTTACAAGAAGAAGTTTACATGGAGCAACCACCTGGTTTTGTTGCTCAGGGGGAGTCTGGAAAGGTGTGTCGTCTTCGGAAATCCTTATATGGTCTCAAGCAGTCTCCTCGAGCATGGTTCAGTCGCTTCAGTTCTGCTGTTCAGGCGTTTGGCTTAATCCGCAGTAAAGTTGACCATTCTGTGTTTTATAGGATTACATCTCCTGATAAGTGTATCTATTTGTTAGTCTATGTTGACGACATCATTCTCACCGGAAGTGATCAAGACGGAATTCGTCAGTTAAAACAGCATTTGTTTAGTACATTTCAAACAAAGGACCTTGGGAAGCTGCGTTACTTCTTGGGAATTGAGGTGGCGCAATCCAGACAGGGCATTTCTATCTGTCAAAGGAAATATGCCTTGGATATCCTAGAAGAAACTGGTATGTTGGGGAGTAAACCAGTTGATACACCTATGGATCCTAATGTCAAGTTATTGCCCGGACAGGGGGAGCCGTTATCTGATCCTGGACGTTATCGGAGGCTAATTGGGAAGCTCAACTATCTTACTGTGACTAGGCCAGATATTTCTTTCGCTGTTAGTACGGCTAGTCAGTTTCTTGATTCCCCTTGTGATTCACATTGGGATGCTGCTGTGAGGATCCTCCGATACATCAAAGGAGCACCAGGAAAAGGTTTGTTGTATTCAGATCAGGGAAATACAGAAATTTGTGGTTATTCAGATGCTGATTGGGCAGGATCACCCTCGGACAGGCGCTCTACTTCTGGCTATTGTGTCTTCTTTGGAGGAAACTTAATTTCGTGGAAGAGCAAGAAACAACCTGTTGTTGCTCGATCTAGTGCAGAAGCTGAGTATCGTGCAATGGCAAATTGCTACCTGTGAGTTAGTCTGGTTAAAGCAGTTGATTCAGGAGCTTCATCTTTGTGAACAGAAACAACCCATGACACTCATCTGTGATAATCAAGCTGCGCTACATATATCCTCTAATCCTGTCTTTCATGAGAGGACCAAACATATAGAGATTGATTGTCACTTCATTCGAGAAAAGATTCAGTCAGGAGAAATCAAGACTGCTTTCGTCAACTCCTCTGATCAACTAGCGGATGTTTTCACTAAAGCTCTTAGAGGTCCTCGGGTTGAATACATTTGTAACAAGCTTGGTGCTCATAATATATACGCACCAGCTTGAGGGGGAGTGTTAGAATATTAGATATGATATGATTAGATATGATTGGATTCCGTCTTATCCGTAAATATTCTGACTGTATTAGGATTAGGTTTGGGCCTTTCACTTAAGCCCATTAGGGTCTCTATATATTGTAACTCTCTGACACAGATCAATATACAATATATTATTTTGTATTCAAGTATTTGCAAGAGTCTGATTACATTAATCAAACATGTGAGTATGAGGTCCATGTATGGTTGTTATTATTTAGGCTCTTATTATTGAAATTTATCTTGCGGGATATACAATATAATCCTTTTATGCTAACTAAAATTTTTAACTAAGTTAATTTCTTATGAATTTATGTTAGCTTATTACTTAATAAATTTTATGATTTAAAATATATATTTTAATTATCGCTGGTTCAATCCCAGTTCAACCATGGTTAGATCAGTGAATCATAAACCAATGCTTTCACCGGTTTAATGACCAGTCTGGTTTTGAAACGTTTTCTAGTGATTTTATGATCAGATAAATAATGCTGTTTTCCAGAAGTACATACATTATCTGATTATTCTCCTTATGCAGATTTATATACACCGTTGTCTCCAAGAGTATCATGGTATATCCAAGGCAACAGCGACCCCTGGAAACAGAAGGAGGAAGATGTGTCTCCCTTGAATTTAATAGCAATTATACGGCAAGACCATTTCAAGTGACACAGAAGGTTAAAACATAGTATTCGTACTTTTCATATTCCTTCAGCTTGTCTATATCCAACAACAGAAATGTGCCTGCATTATGATTCTATCATATAGTGCAGGCAGAGAGGAGACAGTGCTTCCCTTTTTTTCAGAATCCAGGTTCATGTTGTTCACTGGTAGCTTGTGAAGTAAAGGTTTGAGTTGCTATCACCTAAAAATTAAAATGGTCCTATAGCCATGGTACCGGGGTGTGGTTTTATCATCGTGTTTGCTTTTTTGTTTTTGTTTCTTTTTTTTAACCCTTTTTTATTCCTTGCCCTGATGTATTTATTATTGGTTCTTCTTCCCACACCACCCTCTCTTTTTTAATTATTTATTTATTTCAGCATTATGTATTTTTTTAACCCTCTTTTATTTATTTATTTATCATCCAGTGTAATTTTAATTATTTAATTAGAACTTGAAATTTTTTGGTAGGACGTATGTAATATGTTGTAGTTGAAGATTTATCTGTGCTACTGCTTAGAGACTATTAAGGTTATGAACCAGGATAAGGTTATTCAGGTTTAAAGTGTTTGACGGCATGGAGCGGTTTGATTTTCAAACTAAACTGAATTTTTTTTTAAAACTGATTTTTAATTTGTTCAAATCGGTTTGAAACCGGTTCCAAAACTGGTTTATGATTTATAATTGTTTTTGATTTAAAATTGGTTTTGAACCGGTTTAATTCAAAACCAGTTTTAAATCAAAACTGATTATGAACCATAAACCAGTTATTTAAGTTCAAAATTGATTTTATTACAAATTCAAAACCGATTTTAATGAGTGTGCTATATTTTTTTTGAAATAAAATAAAAAACACATTTATTTATTTATTTTTCCTAGAGAATGAAAGTTCATTCAAATGTCTGTATTCAAATATTTGCATGTTGAGTTAATCTTGCAATAATGCATTATAAAAATAATTTATTCTGAAAGAAAACCTTTTGCAGTGCACCAACTTGGGGAAAGGAAATATTAACGTAACATTGACTGATTTGCAGTTATTTCCATTTAGATTATAAAATAGTTATTTCCATTTAGATTATAAAATACAGAGATTACTAATTTATTTGAGAAATATATGAACAAAAGGAATACGTAAAGACTATGTAGCACCGAACCTGCCAGGGGCGGACCGAGGGGGTGCTAGGGTAGGCGCCGCCCCCTTTAAAATTTGAAGAAGTTTTTTAACACAAGTATAATGCAAAAAAATTTCATTTTTTCTCTCCATTAATGTGAAGTAGTTTTCTCCCACTGCGGAGAGTTTATAGAGTGAGTTTCTTTATATTCTCAGGTTTATTTAAGATTACATCACAGTGTTGAGAGTATCAGTGACCACCAATAGAGCTACATGATTTCTCTTAGTTCAAATTCTTTTAGCTACATGGCTCTTGTTTGTTGGCACAGATTTGGTGGTAACAATTAGCATATGGAATTAGCCTTAAATTATGGGGAAAGATCTGTTTACAATTTTTTTTTACAAATTACACTAAGTATGATCAGTCATACACTCTTGATTAAAGTATGACGGTCAGACACAGTATAGTTTGTAAGAGTTTCTAAACGAAAAGTTTGTAAATATAACATTCCCCTTAAATTATAGTTTAAACCTCGACTTGAAACTAACAGTTTCAACTTTTATTATGCTTAGATGTTAGCACAAATCTTCCCATCCATGAATAAAAATAAGAAGTCCGAGAGCCTTATGAAAGAATGAACCTTATTCTTTCGATCCTTCTCCTTTTCTTGTGATTCGTGACAGAGAGGGAAGTGAGGGGCAGTAGGGTTTTGGTGATTGTGTTTCTTGGCAATCTGTCTCTTCTGATTTATCTTTGGCTTTTTTTTCTTGTTGGGCTAATAGTGAGTAAATAGAAAAAGAGGTTAAGAAATGAGAGGGGTCTGCTTTGAATTATCTATTTAGATTATAGTAATTAGTACATATTTTTTGTGAATCTAAACATTTGCTCTATTCTCTTTTTCTTTGTTTTCTTCGCATAAAAAATGTTCATTTTAGGGGTTGAAAATGTGTAGTTTTTTTCAAATTGATAGTAGATTTTGCCATGACATCTTCTACCTCTCTCTCTGTCTCCTTCTTTCTTTCTATAACAAGTTAAAAGAGGTATTTATGAGTTATGTTCTCTGGATTGGTATTTCGGCCTCCCACATATTGTGATTGAAGAGAGGAACAAATGTTTAATTTTAGCCCCCCACAAGAAAAATTCCTAGGTCCGCCACTGGAACCTGGCATGAGACAAGTGACACTACACGACACGATACTCTGACATGTTAATTCTAAAATTTTTTAGATTTCGATACGTTAGGACACGTTTTGATATTAAATAATATTTTTAATTTATGTAGTGTATATTATTTTTAATATTCAATAATTTAACAAAAAAATGAATCTAAAATTATAATATTCATAAATTTTGTAAAGAAACATATTCCAAATATTTATATTAAACTCAATAAAATAGTAATCGTAGTCCAACGAATCTAATAGTTGGAACTAAAAACTCAACGCAACACAACCTTTAAACCTTTTTTTGAATTTCTATAACACATGTTGGCGTGTCGGAGTGTCTGAGAGTGTCGGACACGACACGTCAGGATTTTTGAAGTGTCGGTGCTTCATAGCGTAAAGATATGTTGTTACACGGAGAGGGTGTTAGTGTTGTGGGGGGTGTGGCGATAGTAACATGTGTTTGGCTGGGAATCATGGCATGTGGTGGAAGCTGAATTCTCAAAATCTGAAGGGAAAGAAAAAGCTGTAGAGAGAGTGATACGAGTAGGGGTGTAAATGGGCCGGGCCAGGCTAGCCTAGCCTAGCCTACAGCTCAGCCTATGTTGAGCCTGGTCTAGCCTGGACTTTCTGTAAAGTACAGTAGGCTTATGCTTACAAGAAAACTTTTTTAACAAATAGGCCATAAGCCAACTTTGTCAAGCCTAGCCTAAAACCTTGTAGGCTGACCTATTTAATTTTTTAAAATAAAATAACATAATGGATTTATTCTAGGTGGCAAAGTACCAATCTTAATTTCTTTTGTGCACCCCCGCTTCTAAGTGACTTTTAACTCTCGTCTCTAAGTTTCATCTTTGGTTGATGTAACACCCCGTGTATACTCGGAATATTAACATTACATCGTATTAAGCGGTGCTTAATTAAAAATGCGGAATATTCTTTTTCTTTTCAATTATGACGTCATTATCAATTACCAACTTGATTACTTAATCAATTTCATAAAATATCGCCTGTATGTAAATTGCAATAAGACATCTACTGAAATACCTCAATATATAGATAAAGTGTGTATCTAAATCACGACATTACATCAAGTAATCCGGACAATATCCTGATACATTATTACAACTCCAAAAGACTCAAGACATAATCAAGACATAATAATACTACGTGTCATGGACAATCCCCATGCTCACCAAATAAACATAGTAAACAACAAGTCTCAACATCAAACTCCAAAACATAAACTGAAGCTATAAGCATAAAAGCAGCATGCAAATCCAGCATCCAATCATGTCAGCATAATATAACAGCAATCTAACTCAGCTCCGGCCTCCTGCCGCCTGAGGTCTCAACATTACCTGACCCTGAAATAAGCATTCTCTAAACGTGGGGTGAGATCTCTAAACTAGAAATCTCAGTAAGACAATGGGTCCTCAAGGATCCTCCACCCCAAGCTCACTTACATGTGCAATATAAGTTAAAAAAGCATTTATATCATTATCAGTTCCAAAACTATGTAGTGCAACAGATATCTATGGCATGTGTGTAATCACTATCTACTGGCCAGAGAAATGTAGGAATACGTCTATTCCCTACATGTAGTACAAGGAACACCGCTTGCACCTCACCCACAGCCTGACCCTCTTGTAAGTTCTACATACTCAGGCTCACCGTATAGGTGGAACACCTCCATGTATATCAACAAGGCACTAACATACAATAGCTCAACAGCATTTCCAAAACATCAAAAGCATGTAACACAGCATGCATATACCATATCCCCAAGGGACATGGTGGAACCACAACATGGCTAAACCGAGGACACGAAAGCTTACCTCTAAGCTAGCTATCCAATGCCACAAGCTCAAAGTCCAATCACAGCAGATCACAATCTGATATGGACCAAATATAAATCAATAACATGTACCACATGCATACAAATTAAAGACAACACCTTTTCATTACGTTTTCAAGTCTTAAAGCTTCTAACAAAGCCACAAGCCCTTAATCCCATGATTTTGGCTTAATCCATTAAAAACAGAAGTTCAACTTCATAAATCTAGGGTCTACAAACCCCCAATAGCCTACTGTATGCACAACACAGTTACTGTTCTGCGAAATCCCAGAATATCCGGATATTTCTCGAGACCATATCCGGATATGCAATATCCGGATATCTCACTGTCCATATCCGGATATACAGATTCACATATCCGGATATACAATATCCAGATATCCCAAAACCCCATATCCGAATACACATATCCGGATATCCAATATCTGGATATTCCACGGGCAGATATCCGGATATTTCACGACAGAATGCAGTTTCTGCATTTTCGTGAAGATATCCCTTAAAGGTTCCCTTTTTACCGATTTTATACACCTAAACATGCATTTTTAGGTGTGTTAAGCCTTACCCAACAACAAGTTATCATCTTTTAACCTTAACATGCATCAAGCTTCCATTTTTAAGCCTTAAAACTCAAGTTAAAGGTTGGTACACATACCCCAGCTCAAAACAGAAAGAAAGGTTGCCCTTTGGAGCTCACAATCAGTCTCAAGCTACTGTCACAAGAGGATGCACGAAAATGGTAAGAAATGTTGACCCTTTAGCACAAAAGATCAACACTTGGACCACCAAAAACCAAGACAAGGCTTCTTTCAACCCAACCACCAAGGTCAGCCCCCAAACAAGCAAGAACAGTGGCTGATCACTCAGAAAAATGGTGTCTTCCAACCTCCCAAGGCTCACTCAAACAAGAACAAGTGTTTAGGAAGAAGGTTTTAAGAAGAAACAAGCATAAAATGATCACAAAGTCTCAAAATGGAGTAGATGGCAATGGAACAGTATAGGAGGTCAGCCACCAAGGAGAACTCACGCTGGTTTTCTGTTACCTAGGGTTGTGAGCCCTTAAATGAGTATAAATAGCCTCAAGCCACTTAAACGCTCAGTATTAACTTTAATTGCTACGCTTAGCATTTTAATACCAAACTTTGGATTATGAAACTACATAATTTTCTAAGAATTAAAATATTTTTCTTATATTTTTCTGAGCAACTTTCCGGTACGCGCTTTTCAAAGCCAGTACCGGTTTCTAGCACCAATTCTCATTGTTTGGACTTGAAACTCGTTTTGCAAGTCCTACATATTATTCTAGTAATTATCATGCACTTACTTTAATTTTC